TTCAGTGTGGAGAAGGGATACGTTTGGGAAACCTTGTCCAGTCCCCTTTCTGAGAGCCACTTGGGCAGCTGAGCATCCCGACAGGAAACAGTGCGGAGGGGACCCAGGAGGGGGGCGCTGCAGGAGGGCAGCCAGGGGAGCCAGAGGAGTGTTTGTGGAAGGGGCGTGGTTTGTAGGGCTGGGTGCGCGGAGCACTGCAGGATGAGGCCCAGAGTGGTCCTTAGCCATGTATGCAGTGCCAGGGAGTGGGTGAGGGGTGCTCACCTCCCGGAGCCCAGGCTGGTCTTTGAAACAGACAGACCTGGCCTGGGAGCTCATGAGGAAGTTAGGCCTGCTGCGAGGGGTCTGCCCTTCAGCAAGCTGCCTGGGGCTCTTAGCACATGGAGGTCTGCAGGTCCTGGGCCAGCACAGGGGCCCCCGAGGAGCTGGTGTAGGTACCCACTGTGGGCCCACCTCACCCCCCAGGTTCTGATTCTGAAGGGTTCCGGTGGGCCCGGCAGATGCACTGGGCCTGGAGCAGAGGAGGAAGACAGAGGCAGGTTTAAATGCTGGCGACAGAGACCGAGGAGAGGGAGAGGTGACGCACTTCGTCCTGTCAGGACTGCAGTTCATATCATGTGGTTTTTGGTTCGATACCCGTGCTGAGAGATTGCCTGGCTGTTCTGTTTGGCCGTAGCCAGACTGCCCCACAGTTTTAACCAGCAGAGGGCAGGACAATGATAATATGTCCGGCTGCTTAAATCGGAGAAACTGGATAACAGATCAGTCCAAACTGGATACGCACGTAATGACATTCCCGTGATCAGTAGGTGTCTCTCCCTTGGCGTTTGTCTGAGCAGCACGGCCGCCGCAGGCTGACCTGGAGGCGGACGTGCCCTCCACAGCGGCGAGGGCCGGCGTGTGCACCAGCACGTGCTGCCGCCTCAGCGAGGGCCACCGCCTCGCGTGCGGCTCCTGCGTACCCACCCGCCCATCTGATCTCGCCTCAGGGGTCTGGCCAAAACCATGACCATTTCAAAGCTGGCTTGGTCTTGTTGGTTTCCTCAAGACACGCTTGAGTGCCCGGCCACAGTCGCAGCTCAGGGACTGCCCGTCCCGCAGCCCGGGGGCCTTCCGTCTGGCGGTGCGCCCTGGCACTGCGCCTGCCCATCCCGAGAAGATCCCTCCCTTGCGACGGCCTCGGCTGCTCCGGACGGACGGTGGATTTTAAATGCGTGTGTAGTCTCTGACTTCAGGGGCCATTATAATAATGACACAGGGCAAGTGTAACAAGTGGCAAACTGGGGCCTGGCTGTGTGCCAGGTGTAATTTCACAAGACGCAGTGGCTTTTACGAGGCGTGTGTTGTTCTGAGCCTATATGACGGAGGCGGAGAGAAGGCCCGGAGCCCCAGCACTGCGCCCCAACGCCGAGCCCCAGTGCCGAGCCCCAGTACTGCATCCCAGCGCTGAGCCCAAGGGCTGAGCCCCAGCACCGAGCCTGAGCACTGAACCCCAGCGCCGAACCCCAGCACTAGAGCCCCGGCACAGAGCTCCAGCACTGCGCCCCAACGCCGAGCCCCAGTGCCGAGCCCCATGCCGAGCCCCGGCACCGAGCCCCAGCACTGAGCCCCAGCACAGAGCCCCGGCACTGCCATGGTACGGTGCCCTGCCCAGCCGCCGCCCTGCAGCTCAAGAGTTCCCTAAGTCCCTTGCCAGTGTTTTAAAGCCAGCATGGTGGGTGGGACGTTTGACCTGTTGTACTTATTTTAAAAATAGCGTATACTTATTGGAGGACACGTGGGAAAAAAGGCGGGAAATACCAGTCGGCTGTAAGCCCGCTTGACGTTGGGCGCAGGCCTGGGGGTCTGCTTTGTTCACCAGAACACGGTCCGAGCGAGAGGTGTGTGTCCCTGTCTGCTTGCTGTGGGGGAGACGGGGCGGGCCGGATCAGCGTGGACTGGCCTCGCTCCGTTGCCCGCCCTCCCGGGGCTCGGGGCAGGGTGGCTGAACAGGAGACGGGGACAGGGAGCGCTGGGGGCCGGCGCGGGGAGGACGGCAGATTGCAGGAGAGCCTGCCCCAGCTCTGTCCACACCGCTGGCAGGTCCTCTCCTTGATCTGACTGGACTTAATCTTCACCGAGAGAGCGTGCCAACAGCCGCCTGACAGGCCGCTCAGCTGTCGGAGGCAGCTGGCCAGGTGAAGTAGAAGTTCCCTGGGAGCAAGATGCTGTGCGGGAAATGCTCAAGAAGCCTGATACTTAGAGTTAGGCTTTCCTGGAGCTCTCAGGCAAGCGCGGCCTCCCTTCTCCCTGGGTTTCACCTCCAGCCCGATTCCCCACCTGGGGCTGTGAGGCGGGGTCACAAAGGCAGGCCCCTCGATAGGAGAGCGGGGGGCACAGACCCGCCTGGAACTTTCCTCCTGGCCTTAGACAGAATCTGAGCAACAGGGATGCAGGGGCCACTCCCCGAGAGCCCTTGGGCTGGGTCCTCAGAGCCACCTGCTCAAGGGAAGGAGGGAGAGCGGGGGGCACTGGCACCTTCAGCAGGGAGGGGGCCGCCTCCGGGTCTCTCTCTGCTTCAACAATCCCAAGAGTGGACACGGAAAGTGGCTTGTTCTCCTTGTAGGTCTAGAGTGAACAAAAGCAACGTCCCCTGTAGGTGTGCACCTCTGGGCAGCAGGGCTCTGGCTGGGCAAGCCCTTCGGGGTTCAAAGCAACTTTAGACTCAGCCTATGGGAAATCTGGTTGCTGCCGTGTGCTGTGTGGGTGGGTGGGTTGTGTCCTGGGACAGGGCCCCTGAGGCCCTGACACAGCAGGTGACCCCCAGCCCCTCAGGCAGGGCTGCCCTTTGAGCTCCCATTCTGCTGCTTGCTCACCTGTTCATGCAGCGAATGCGTTGAGTGTCTAGAATGTTCTGGGCTTAGCTCTAGATGCTGAAGGTATATGCTGAGTGAATAAAGTGGGGTGTGGGGCAGACATAAAGAAGTGGTGTGAGGACAAAGAAAGCAGGAAGGGGGTCCGGACTCTCGTTGGAACAGCATCCAGGGAGACCTGACGGAAAGAAGACACCCAGCAGAGCCCTGAGGAAGAGCAGGAGCCCGGCCATGTCTGGGGGAGCATTCCAGGCAGGCAAGGACAGTGGGATGAGAGACCCCAAAAAGAACAGGCCATGCTCTTGTGGAGTGAGCGGGGTTGAAGTCCGGCCTGGGGGGGGGGTCCCTGTGAGGTGGGGGCGGTCTGGAGGACGAGGAGGGGGGATGTGATCTTGCACCTATCAGCAGTCCACTCTCTCCTGCCCGTGGGGGAGCCTGCATCACAGAGATGATGGGCTGGGCCCCTGTGTGGCAGCCATGGGTGACGAGGGCTGCATTCCGGATGTGTGTGCAGAGGGGGCTCCCGGACCGGCTGGCGGCTAGGCTGTGCCCTCAGCGAGGGTAGTTCGTGAGGGGCAGGACTCCAGCCCAGACGGAAGGGTGTGGCTTTGGGGAGTGGGTGGCCGATCAGACGGGGTCGCATGAGCCAGAGCCCTCCTGGGGCTGCGCTGGGGAAGGAAGCACGTGGGCTTTGGGGAAAGCCTGTGTTTTAAGCACAGCATTCATTTGAGGGCTCAAGGAGGACTTTTACCCTGGGTGCCCACCCCTTTCCTGTGCATGAAGAGCTCGGGGTTCAGGACATCCCCGAGAAGCAGGCCATGTTGCGTGCCGGCTGCTTGGAAAATGCCGCGGGCCTTCATCCTTCTGCCAGTTCATTCCATCTCATCCTTGCTGATGGCACTGCGTCCAGGAAGTCTGCGGGGGGCCCGGCCTGCAGTGGAAGCAAGTGCAGAAAGGCCTTTTGTGTGCGCACAGGCCCTCCACATTCGTGCTGCCCTGTCTGCTTGGGTGGGTGCTGGGGTGATTTTCGGGCTCCTGTACCGGGCAGGCACAGCCGGATGGGGAAGAAGAGGGCCGGGGCGGGGGGTAGCGTGGCTGTGTAGGGCCACGTCACCCCCCTGTCTGCAGCTGTCCTTGCTGTGGGTCAGGCACGGTGACCCAGTGACCTTGTAGTGCCAGGCAGCTAGCTTGGAAGGGCAGGTGCACCGGCAAAGAGAGAGGGGGCGGGCTCGTACTTCCCCGCTCTGAGTGGGTCCCAGGCCAAGAGCGTGTCTGTGGAAGCGAATGAGCACTGGTCCTTTCTCCATGGTTTGCTCAGAAAATTAAGGAAAAAAAACCAACCGGGATGATCAAGGCTTAGATGCAGCTCAGTCAGACTCATGGGCTGGGGTACCAGGCTCCTTCCCGAGGCTAAAGGGTCTTTCGTTTAGTGCCCCAGCCTGGCCCCTGCCTCCCTGTTCCAGGGTGGGGCTGGCTCTGTGCCCTTTGCTCAGGCTCGGGGCAGCTCCTATCCCTGAACCCCCACACCAGAGGTAGACACAGCTGGGCATTAGTTGGCAAGGTAAGAACAGGTTTTACCCAGTGACTGATACCGGGGACGTGAAGGGGTGACAGGCGATGGCTCCCAGGGGAAAAGAGGGTGGGAGGGGTGAGCAGAAGTCAGTACCACGGAGGAGGTGAGCAATCACGGAGGGCTGGTGAGTGCCAAGGCCATTCCGGCCAGCTGTGCCTGCTGGCTGGTAGGGTTCTGTCCTCCCACAGAGATGGGAGAGGGGGCCCATCCTTCCTGATGGTTCCATGTTGGAGGAGTGGCCTGCAGGTCGCGGGAAGTCCCTTCTGGGTTGGAGGAGAGACATACTCACAATGCTAGTCCTCCCAGTAATTGCTCTAAGTGGGGTGGGCAGGGCCTGCGGCAGGTGTTCTCGGGGGCGGGGCTCTGATCCTCCCAGAAACACAGGCTTCAGCTGCTGGACACCATGCCGGTGCGGGGGTTTGGCCCGAGCGTCCTGTGTCCTCACCCGCCCTCGGCGCCCACTGGGCCTGGGAGGTTGCTGCTGCCGAGAAGGGGCTGTGGGCCCGGAGGGTTGTTTTCCTTCAGTTGAGGCAGAATTCACCTAACGTCAAGTTCACGGTTGCAGTCGCACGGAGATGGCACGGTGCGGTGGTACTTAGCTCCCCCGCCCGCCCCGGTGCTGTGCAGCTCCACTGTCCTGTTCCAGAGCTGTCCCGTCCCCGCGACTCGGAACCCCACTCGTCTCTCCCCAGCGCCCCTCAGCAGCCCCGGCAGCCACTGGCCTGCTCAGACGTTCCGTATGCGGGGAAGCCCTGCACGTGTCTGGACTCCGGCCCAAGGCCCCCGGGCCTCCGACTGACGCTGTGTGCCTCTGTCTTTGCAGCTCCTGCCTACAGGTCCATCCTGAGCATTAGGGACGAGACAGCCAGGGTGCAGGCCCTGAACGAGCACCTCAGCACGCGTAGCTATGTCCGGGGGTACTCCCTGTCCCAGGCGGACGTGGACGTGTTCAGGCAGCTCTCGGCCCCTCCCGCTGACACGCGCCTCTTCCACGTGGCTCGGTGGTTCAGGCACATAGAAGCGATCCTGGGTGGCCCCTGCGGCAGAGGCGAGCCCTGTGGGCGCCAAGCAAGTGAGTAGCGGAGTGAGTTCCCCGGCTGGTAGCACCTCTCCCGCCGGCGGCCACCTCCAAGGTCAGGGCCCCGAAGCTGGCAGCAGACCCCGCAGGGCTGCTCCTGTCCCCGCGTGTGAGCACGTGGCCTGGCAGCCCGGCCCGCGCGCCCCGAGTGGAGGTCAGGACAGACTCTGCCCAGGAGTCAGCCCGTGCGGGTCACGCCTGCCCGTGGCCGCTGTGACAGAGCTGCCCGGGCCGTGGTGCAGAGCCTCCGCGAGAGCGTGCCGCCCGCGGCGGGGCTGGGGGGGCCGGGCACAGGCTCCAGCCTGGCATTACAGCTAATTGCTGGCCTGGCTTTACTTTAACTGGCTTCTTCTCCTTTATTCTGTCCATGCGCCGCAGTGTGTGTGTGTCCGCCACGTAATTAACATGTTATGTTAACAGTCACTGAAGTCTCTGAAAATCAGAACGAAGTCAGTTCTCAACTTTGAGCTTGAGCTGCAGCCTGTGGGTGCTGGCGTGTCTGACAGGTGACGGCGGTTACTTTCGGGGTCCTTCTGGAACATCCGAGGGCTCAGGCCCTGTGTGGTTTCTCTCCTGCGATGAACCCCTGGGTGCTTCGTCCCACAGTCGCCCGATGCCCTTGAGCAGCTCAGCTTGGGCGCTCGCGCGGCTTCGTGGGAGGGGTGGGCCGCCTGCTGCCTCTGCTGATCCTCGCAGGGCGGGGCAGTCTCCTGGGGGCTTTTCCTTACTCCTTCAGGTGGGGCGTTGGAGCATTGCCCAGCACCTACGCCGCTCTCCTGGGCTGGGTCCCCTGCCGGAACAGGCGGAGGTGGGGGCATCGTTTCCCCCCGAGTGGGGTGTGATTTGGTTTTCTGGATAATCCTTCCCCAGCCCAGGGTGGGAGCTTTGTGGGTACACTGTCTCCTCCATGGGCACGGTGACCCTGCTGATGTCCATGGTGTCAGGTGCCATGTCGTCTCCCTGGGTCCCAGCTCCTCTAAGACACAGCGTGCAGGGGCGGAGGTCAGGGCGCATCCGGGGCTCCCAGCCTTGGAGCGGCCTGGCTCATGGTCCATCTAGGACCTTGTCTAGAGAACGAGCAGGTGCCTTTTAGCCGTGCAGAGGAAGGGCCACCGGAGGCAGAGAGCCACCCTGTGCGTTGATGAGGCTAGGCTGGCTGGGGGGCAAGGAGAGATGCACCCTGGCTGGCACCCATAACGTTTCCTGACTCCTTCTGCCTGCAAGTCCCCTCGTGTGCCCGGCCCATGGCCGCGGGTGGCCTGCAAGCGGGGCCGCTCCCAGGACCCTCTCCCACGTCCCTGGGAGCACAGGAACCGAGCACCTGCTGGCCCGCTTGTTGCTGCCAGAATTGAGCACTGCTCCGTTCAGGGCTCTGATGTCCTGTCCCGGGCACGAGCACTGCCTCTCCCAGCCCCCCGCTTCCCGGCACCCTGTCCCCACTCCCTCCGAGCCCGTCCCAGCGGCGGTGCCCATGACAGCTGCCCCTGCTGCTGGCGCCCGGTCTGTCCCTCCATGTCCCTCCCCGGGCTGTGGGCCTCAGAGCCCGAGCCACCCTCTCAGGCACAGAAAGTGGGGCGGCCCCTGTCCCTGCCGCCTCCCAGTCCCATCAGCACCCCCCACGGCTGCGGCACAGAGGGACCACTCCGCCCAGGGCCTGGCCTGCGGTCAGTGTCTGGAGTGCTGCCCCTCCCTCCAGGGACCCCTGTGCCGCTGTGAGTCCCAGCCCCCTGGCAGGGGGCTCAGGCCCCGTGGCTGTCGGGGCGGCACAGTGTGGCACCCCTCTCTGCCCCCCGGCCCCCACCCGTGTCCTGGGGGAGCGTTTCTCCTCTGTCGGAGGTGGGATGGGCGCAGCGCCCCTAAGCGGTGTGTGCGTTTCTATCGGGTCGGGGCTGTGGCTGCGCAGTGGCCCCGTGCCCAGGACGGGGCCTGGAGGGGACTGGCTCTGTGTTGGATGAACGGGATGTGTGTTAGTTCAAGCAGAGGTGGAAACAAGGAGTTAGTGCACGGGATGGTGAGTGCTGGGGTGGAGGCGCGGACACGGCGTGGGGAGACTCGGCCTAGCCTTGTCGGGGTGTAGAGGGTCGCGGGTGGGCTGCTGTCCTGAGTGAGCCGTGTTCGTGCTCGGGCATGGCGCAGCTGATGGTGTAAGGGAACAGTAGTGGAAAATGTCCTCATTAAACCAGGGTCCTGTGTGATATCTGCCCGAGTCCCTTGAGCCTGCCACCAGCTGTGTGACCGTGGTGGCCCTTTGCGGCGCGGCCAGGCTCCCTGGGCTCCACCGCCGGCTGTGTCCCGCCACCCCCCGTCTTCTTGGATGGGCCTCCCGTGCTGTGAACCCCGAGCCTTCCCGCCTCGCAGGACGAGCAGTGCTGGTCCTCCGGCTCGCATCTGTGTGGCCGCTCTGGCCGATGCCCCCGCTCAGCTCAGATAGCAGTGTTGTCTGTCTCAGGAGCTGTGGGGTGTGAGTGAGAGAGGGGATGCATGGTGTCGTCTGCAGCACATTGAGCATCACTGAGTCCCAGACTGAGAGTTCCCTTCACGGGCACTTGCTGCATGTAAAGTGAGCCTGTGAGACGCGCACCTGACCTTAGGAATAAGCACACCTGTCTCATTGAGGGTGTGGGCCTTCCCACGCACCGGAGTCTGTGGCCGCCTCGTTTGCTGGCCGCCACCCAGAGTAAGGAGCTCCTCTTGAGCGCAGGCTGCCTCTCTCCCTGTCTGCCCGCTCCCATTCCCACCCGCACGCTCTCACGCAGACATGCACGCGGAAGCTGCCTTCCTCCTCCGCTCTCCTCCACCTGTCACTTCAGGCAGCCTCTGTGTGGCTGATGAGACACCTTGGGCAAATAGCCAAGCCCAGGACTGACTGCTCCATGATCCCAGCAGGAAGCAGCGAGTGGGGCTCTGTGGGGTCTTGGTCAGCAGGCCATCCGGCACGAGAGGCAGAGGCGGGGAGTGGACGGGAGGGCAGCTCAGTGAGCTGCAGACCCCTGCTTGGGAAGACGGGTCAGGTAGCGCGGAGGCTTCCATGGGCCCAGCCTGTGCACTGTGAGTGAGGCACAAAGCTGCCTCTGTGAGCGAGAGCTGGGGGGGACAGCTGGGCTCTAGGTGCAGGATGCTAGATGCCCAGGACGGAGCTACACCCTCTTGGGCTCTCAGGCACCCACCACATAAGTACTGCTCTCTGTCCACCTGGAAGTGTGGGCCTGGGACCACGGAGCCGCAGGGGCAGCCCCCGAGACAGCGCTGGGGAGGGGACGGTGGTCGTGGCAGGAGCGGGGAGGATACGGGGTCCTGGAAGGCAGCGAGGGACAGAGCCACCCCACACTGTTCCAGAGTTGGTCAAGCACCCGTGTGGAGCTGGAAGCCACAAGCGTCTTGTCCCAGTCGAGTCAGGGAGTGATCCACATGTTGCAGGGGGTGGGGACCAGAATTGAGGGGGAGCTGGCCATTTGCCCCCGTCTAATGGAGATGGGGCTGGGGTGGAGCCTGTTCTTACTGAGTTTCTGGGGCTGTGAGCTAGTTGCGGCCTGGCCAGTCCCGTACTGCTCTGGAAAGTGGCCCATGTCCCACAAAGCCTCCACAAGGCGTAGAGTACCCCCACTTGTCTGCTGCACTTGAGTCTGGCACTGCAGGGCCCATGCCCCCTCCTGGCCCATAAGCCGTGTCCACCACGGTGCCCGTAAGCGGCCGGGAGGGTCTGGGTTTGGGGAGCAAGGGATGCAGTGGGTGTGAGCACGTCTCACAGGTGCTCCCAAGCTGTGCTGCCCCACAGACTGTGAGCAAAGCAAAATAGAGACGCCGTTGCATTTGACATGGGTGATGCTGATGGAGACCCACACCCTTAGCCCTGTTCGTTGAGAAAGACCAAGTGGGTGCAGCGTGACTTGCGTTCTCTCTGCCTTGGCAGGTAAAGGCCGGCGAGGGCAGCCTCAGTGGTCTCCCCCGGCAGGGTCTCCTCCGTGCAAGCTCCGTCTCTACAACAGCCTCACCCGGAGTAAGGTAAGGAGGGAGCGTGGCCTGTGGGGTGTAGCGGTGGCCACGGGGGGGTGGGGCGGGGCGCATGTGCCCTTCCGGACCACTGAGCTGGTATCTGTGGGCGAGCTCTGCAGCCATCGGTCCAGACGGGAGTGAAGTCTTAGCTCTTGCCACGCATTCTGCACGTGGCCCGTGGGGGGCACAGCTGACCTCTGACACCAGGCATGCCCAGGGGCAGCCTGCCTGTGGGCTTGCGGGCCTGGAGCGCCCGAGCACGTGTCGCTCAGAGCCAGGCCAGGTGCCGGCCTGCTTCTGGGGAGGACACGTGGTGGTGGTTGTCACCGCGCATGCCAAGCACAAGAGGCACAGCGCGGCCCCGGCTGACGTGGTTGGGAGCCAACCGGGTTTTGGGAAGAAGGCAGGATCGGATCCCAGTTGAACGGGGTTTGCTTGGTGTGTTCTGCTCAGCGTGGCCCATGGCTCCAGCTGTGGGCTGATTGGAATTTCATCAGTGAGCACAGTGGCAGACGGGGAGACAGGGGTCTCAGGGAGTCCACCCAGAGTAACTGAGCTCCTCCACCCCCAACGTCTGTGACTTTTGTCAGTAAAACAAAATCGTTCTTGTTGAATTTTGTATAAACAGCCATGCTCTTTGTTGCTGGTTGGGGTGATCCTGCACAGCACCTCTTACGCGGCTGATGGTTGTCATTCCTTCATTTTTAACAAAGGACGTGTTTATACCTCAGCATGGGAAAAGGGTGACGTGGTACAGCTGTGGACCTACCGTCTACGACGCATCTCACATGGGGCATGCCAGGTAGGGGCTGCTGCCGGGCGCCTAGCACGGGCCGGGGTCCCTGGGTGTCTGGGGGTGTGGGTCCTACAGGGAGCATCTCAGCCCTTCCGAGATCTCCGCTCTGCTCCAGGGACCTGAGATTTGAAAGGAAAATCAGTCCTGGACTTTTCCTTTCCTGTGTTTGAGATAAACATTTTCATTCCATAAGTAATCCATATTGATGACGGAAAAGTTGGAGAATATGCACGGGCCATGAGCTCGCTGTCTTGTTGCCCTGTGGCTGGCGTCCTGGGACGCACACAGATGTTTTGTTCCCCGTGCTTTGGTTCTCCCAGGCCGCAGCTCTGGCGGGAGCCCAGGCGCAGAGCAGGCCCGGCCCCACGGTGCTCCTGGCTCCTGTGCGGGGCCGCGGAAGCCTTACCCTGGTTCTCGTGGCCATGGCCCCATGGGCCAGGGTGTGTGGCGGGCCGTGGGACAGGTCTCTTCCCGCACTCTAGGTCCTACATCTCCTTCGACATCCTGCGGAGGGTGCTGCGTGACTACTTCGGGTACGACGTCTTCTACTGCATGAACATCACGGACGTGGACGACAAGGTAGGGCTCTCACCGGGACGTCCTCAGTACGGTGGGTGACAGGGAGGAGGAAGCGTCATTTGTAGATGAGATCAGGTGGGCCTTGGCCCAGCTCAGGTCTGGACCTGATGCACACGGCATGAGTCCCCGCCGCTCAGTAGCTTGGTGGTGTATACTGATGATGTCATGTAGAAGCCGGGAGAAACCTCGTGTCCAGGGGCCCAGTTGATAAAACGTCAGCCCGTGGGGCTTCGTGGCAGCAGGACCTGCGGTCACACGTGCTCTTGTGTGGGGAGGGCGCGGGGGGCGGGGGCGCAGCTCATTTCCTCGAGATCAGCAAGGTCATGGGAACAGCCCTGGCGCGGCCGCCTGGGACTTGGAGTCTGCCTGCTGCGTGGGGCACGACCCCCAGTTTCCCTCCTCTCCCTCCAGATCATCACGAGGGCCCGGCAGAACTACTTGTTCGAGCAGTATCGGGGGAAGCGGCCGCGGGCGGCCCAGCTCCTAGAAGATGTTCACGCCGCCCTGAAGGTGGGCCCCTCGCTGTCTGCTCCTTGACTCCTGACTGTCCCGAGAGCCGTGGCCGTCCTTGGTGGGCTTCACACAGTAACCAAAGCCAGCCCCATCTCGGGGGCCCCGGAGTTCTGACCGATGTGTCCCCTGGCCGCTGGGAAGAGTCGCCAGGAAAGACACACTTGGGCGGGGGCCTGTGCCTCCCACTTACGGGAGAGTGTCCGAGTCCGTCACGGTGGCACTGATGGATGCTTGCTCGTTAGATGCTCCAGACGCCCCTGTGGGCTCATCTGTGTGGCGGTCTCAGCCACGCAGGCGCTGCACTGAGCCGCTTAAATCAGGAGTGCTGGAAATTTTCAGAACTTGAAGAAATCAGTTCTTTCCAATATAATATTGTCATTTTGAATGACAGTGTTACGAATTACTGTTTTAATGGAGTAAGGTTAGAATAAGTCCTTTGATGCTCTGTAATTACTATTTTAGTAGCTGCAGTAGTAATTACGTGTGCCTCTGTGTTTTATCTCTAGAAGAAACACTAGGAATGAAATCAGAGCTTAGCCGGCTTAGGCCGACCAGAGGTGGGCCTGCCAGGTCATGGGTGACTTCGTGACGGTCACGAAGTCCCCAGGTGACGCCCCCGTGACCCCGAGCACAGCGTGTGACATCAGAGAACCAGGCCTGGGGGGTTGCGGGGAGCAGGCTTTCAGGGGAAGCTGGGCCCACGCCCTTAGGGATGCAGACTGCTTTCTTGTCCCCAGCGAGGGCCCCCGGGGGAGCACGGGGCTGTGCTGAGCTGCGTCTGATGGGCTCAACCTCTCCTGTGCTTGCAGCTGTTTTCGGTCAAGTTATGCGCGGCCACGGACCCCGACAAAAGGCAGATGCTGGATCGCATTCAGCGCACGGTGAAACTGGCTGCAGAGCCCCTGGAGAAAGCTGTGCAGAGCGACCTCCCAGAGGAGGTGGCCGACCGCCGTGTGGAGGTGAGGTCTCCACGGGCCCGCCACAGCCCCGCTCGCTGTTCGCGGGTCCCAGCCTGCGCCTCCGTGCCTGCGGCCGCCCGGGAGGGGGCTGGCCAGCGCCCTCCCGCCCCGCACCTACCGCCTACCCCCGCGCCGCCTCCTCACGGGACTGGGGGCCCACTGGCGTGTGTGCGGCAGGTCATTCCAGAGTCCTCCAGCCGGCGCTCCTGTATTTCTTGGTGGCACACCGGCGCAGAGAGCCGAGGGAGGCTGAGGTTGCACTGGGCTGTGGGGCGCCTTGGGCCGGCTCTCCTGCCCCTGGGAGAAGTTCGCCCCCAGACGGGGTGAGGGCACGGGGTGCACGGGGCCTGGCTCTCTTCCAGCCTTTCGCCTGCCGGCGGCCCTGGCCACAGTGGCCCTTCTCCTTCACGCCAGCGCCCTCTGCTGGCCACCCTCTTCAACACTCAGCAATCGAGAAGCTCCAGAAAAGGTGTGGCCACCGCTGTCTGTCCGTCTGGAGGCCGTGGAAGAGATGCCCCCAGAGCTCGGCCTGGCTTAGGCTTTCCTTTCACTTTCCTCCTCACTTAGTGTGGATTTCCGGCGCGGGCTTGTTCTGAGCTTAATGAGAGAGTCCCCCCTACACGGGCTTGCGGATGAACGCTTTGCTCAGCGTGCTTCCAAGTGGGGCCCCCGCATGGTAGCTGGCCTTCCTTCGATGGGCGTCCTGGGCCCAGCTGTTTCTCCCTCTCCTCGGACAGCAGTCACGTTCCCGTTACCAACAATTTACCATCTTAACCATTTTTAGGTGTGGAGTTCAAAGGTATTAAGCACATTCACATTATTGTGCAGCCGTCCCCACCATTTGTCTCCAGAACTTTCCATCTTCTCAAACAGAGACTCTGTCCCCATGAGACACCTCCCCCGGCCCCAGCACCCACCGTCCACTCTGTTTCCATGAATCTGGGGACTCCAGGGACCACATAGAATGCTATGGTGTCTGTCCTTTTATGACTCGTCTCTTTCCCTCGGTTTGACGGCCTCTAAGTTGTGGCAGCCCCCGGAAACCACTGATCTTTTTGCTGCCTCCATGGTTTTCCCTTTCCAGAATGTCACAGAGTTGGAATCCTGTAATACGTGGCCTTCTCAAATCGGCTTTTGTCACTGAATATAGGTTTTAGGGTCCTTCATGTCTTTTCATGGCTTGATAGCTTCTTTCTCTTTAGTTCTAGATAATACTCCATCATCTGGATGGAACGCAGCTTGTTTATCTTTCCATCTACCGAAGTGCGTCTTTGTTGCTTCCAAGTTTAGGCAATTGTGAAGAAGCTGCTGGAAACGTCCATGTGCAGGTTTTTGTGTGGACATAAGTTTTCAGCTCCTTTGGGTAGATGCCAAGGAGCATGACTGCTGGGTCATACAGTAAGAGTATGTGTAGTTTTGTAAGAAGCCACACACCGTCTTCCAAAGCAGCTGCACCATGTTGCGTTCCCCCCAGTAGTGATGAGCATTCCTTTGGTTCTGGGTTTTCCCAGCGTCAGGTGTTGCCAGTGTGAGTATTTGGGCCATTCTAACAGGTGTGTGCTGGTATCTCGTTGTGATTTGCATTTCCCGGAGACATTGGATGTGGGGCGTCTTGTCATGTGCCTATTTGCCTGTCTGTGTGTCCTCTTGGGTGCAGTGCCTTTCAGGTCATTGGCCCATTTTTTATCAGGTGGTTTGTTTTCTTACTGTTGAGTTTGTATATTTGGGGTAATAGTCTTTGATCAGATGTATCTCTGGCAAGTATTTTCTCCCAGTCTGTAGCTCATCTTTTTGTTTTCTTGACAGTGTCTTTTCCAGAGCAGACATCTTTAATTTTGATGACGTCCAGCACGCTGAGCTCCGTGAGCGGTGTGTGGCAGTGACTTCTTCACAACCACACTGATGGCATGGGTGTTGGATTTTGTCATATGCTTTTTCTGCATCTAGCAACGCTATTATGGCATTTTACTTCTTTGGTCTGTTGACGTAATAATTTACATTAATTGATTTTATACTGTTGAACCAGCCTTCCATACCTGTGATAAATCCCACTTGGCCGTGGTATGTAATTCTTTTCGGACTTTTTTTTTAAGATTTTTTTTATTTATTGAGAGAGAAGAACAATAGAGAGCACATGAGAGGGGGGAGGGTCAGAGGGAGAAGCCGGCTCCCCGCCGAGCAGGGAGCCCGATGCGGGACTCGATCCCGGGACTCCAGGATCATGACCTGAGCCGAAGGCAGTCGCCTAACCAACGGAGCCACCCAGGCACCCTTTTTCCGGACTTTTGTGGATTTAATTTGTTAATATATTGTTAAGGATTTTTCCATCTATGTTCATGAGGGATATTGGTCTGTAGATTTCTGTTCTTGTAATGTCTTAGCTTTTGGTATTAGAGTAATACTGTCTTCATAGAATGAGTTAGTAGCCCCTCTGCTTCTGTCCTCTGAAAAACTGTAGAAAACTGGTATCATTTGTTCCTTAAATGTTTAGTAAAATTCACCAGTGAACTCCTCTGCATCAGGTGATTTCTGTTTTGGAAAGTTATAAATTCTTTTTTTTTTTTTTTTAAGATTTTATTTATTTTTTTGACAGAGAGAGACACAGCGAGAGAGGGAACACAAGCAGGGGGGAGTGGGAGAGGGAGAAGCAGGCTTCCCGCTGAGCAGGGAGCCCGATGCGGGACTCGATCCCAGGACCCTGGGATCATGACCTGAGCCAAAGGCAGACGGTTAACGACTGAGCCACCCAGGCACTTGGAAAGTTATATTCTTAATTAAATCTCTTTACTAGCTCATCTTGTGTGAGTGTTGGTAGCTTGTGTCTTTCAAAGAATCGGTCCATTAATCCAGGTTATCAAACTTGGGGGCACAGAGTTGTGTGTAGTGATTTTTTATTAAGTTTTTAAATTTCCGTGAGGTCTGTAGTGATGGCCCTCTTTTGGGTATTAGTATTAGTATTAGCACCCCTTTCTTAGGTAGTAGCCTGGCTAGAGGCTCATCAATTTTATTCATTTTCTCAAAGAACCAGTTTCTGGTTTTGTTGATTTTTCTCTATTGATTTCCTGTTTTCTGCTTTAATTTTTATTATTTCTTTTCTCCCATTTTGGATTTAACTTGTTCTTCTTTTTCTAGTTTCATAAGATGGAAGCTTAGATTAGCTTGATTTTAGACCTTTTTTCTTTTCTAATCTGTGCACCCAGTGTTATAGACGTCCTCTAAGCACTACTTTTGCTGCATCTCACAAATTTTGATAAGGTGTGTTTTCATTTTCATTTTGGTTCAAAAATTTTTAATTTTTTCTCAAGATACCTTCTTTGACCCGTGTGTTCTTTCGAAGTGTGTTGTTTGATCTCCATGCATTGTGGGAACTTTCCAGCTCTCTTTCTCTTACTGATCTCTAATTCAGTTCCACGGTGGTCTGAGAGCAGACACAATGTATGATTTCTGTTCTTTTGAATTTGTTCAGACGTGTTGTATGGCCCAGCCTGTGGTCTGTGTTGGTGAACGTTCCCTGTGAGCTTGAGAAGAATGTGTGTTCTGCTGCTATTGGACCAAGTGGTCCATAGATGTCCATTAGATCCAGCTGACTGAGCACGTAGTTGAGGTCAACTATGTCCTTACTGATCTCCTGCCTGCCAGGTCTGTCCACGCCCAAGGGAGGGGTATTGAAGTCCCCAACTACCTTCACGGATTCATCTGTTTGTCCTTGCAGTTCTGTTTGCTTTTGCCTCATGTAGTTTGCTGCCCTGCCATTGGGCCCATGCACCGGAAGCACTGCTGTCTTAGAGAACTGACCCCTTTGTCTGGCCAAGCTCTTCTTTATCCCTGATGACTCTCCTGGCTTTGAAGTTGGCTCTGTCTAAAACAAGCTACTCCTGGTCTATTTTGATTTGTGATAGCATGGTACATTTGTCTCCATCCGTCTACTTTTAATTTATATGTGTCTTTATATTTAAAGTGGGTTCCTTGTGGACAACATACATTTGGGGCTTGTATTTTGATCTACCTGACTGTTTTATCTGGTGCATTTAGACCACTGACATTCACGGTGGTACGGAGACAGCTGGATTCCTAGCCACTGTGTGTATTGTTTTCTATTCACTGCCCTGTTCCTTGTTCCCATTGATTTCTTCCACTCTTTTTCTGTCTTTTGTGGTTTTGATTGAACATTTTACATGATTCCACTTTTTCTCCTCTTACGGCATATCAGTTATACTTTTTTTTTTTCCTTTTTTTTAGTGGTCGCCCTATAGTTTGCAATATACACTCACCACTAATTTCAGTCCACTTTCAAAGACACTATACTGCGTGGTCCTAGGGGTGCTTTACAGTAACAGAATGATCTAGTTCTGCCTCCCGTCCTCGTGTTGTTGCTGTTGTCCATTTTACCTATCTAAAAACCTGGGGTGGGGGGGCTATGTGTGCATAAAGTATGTACATAAGGGTGCAGATTGATAACGTTCTTGCTATAAACTGTTACTTGTTAGATCAATGAAGAAAAACAAAAGTTTTGGGGCACCTGGGTGGCTCAGCCGGTTGAGCGCCTGACTCTTGGTTTCGGCTCAGGTCATGATCTCAGGGTCATGAGATCGAGCCCCACATCGGTCTCCATGCTCAGCGGGGAGTCTGCTTAAGATTCCTTCTGCCCATCCCCTCTGTTGACACACACTCTCTCTCCCTCTCTCAATACATAAATACTTTTTTTAAAAAAGGAAAAGCAAAAGTTTTCATTTTACCTTTGCATCTTCTCTCTGATGCTCTCCCTCACTGTGCAGACCTGTTTCTGATCTCTATTATTTTTGTTCTCGCTAAAGAACTTCTTTTCACATTTCTTGCAAAGGAGGTCTACGGGCAACAAGTTCCCTCGATTTTTGTCTGCCTGAGAGCTTTTGTTTCCCTTTGCTTTTGAAGGGTAAGCACGCAGGGTCCAGAGTTCAAGGGTGGTGTTTTCTCTCGACATTGAAGCGTCCCCCACATCTCTTGCTTACATGCTTTATGAGGACGAATTGGATGCGGTTCTTATTTTGTTCCTCTATGGGCAAGGTTTTTGTCCTTGGACTCCTTTTGGGATTTTCTGCAGCTTTCCTGTGGAATGCCTGGGTGTGGTGTCCTGCCTGAGGTTCCCTGAGCTTTCTGCGCCTGCGGTTCAGGGTCTGCTGTGAGCGGGGGGCTCTCAGTCGGTGGGGTTCAGATGTTTCTCTGCTCCTTCCCCCCTCCTGTCCCTGTGGCGTCCCCACGAGCACCCGTCGCACCTTCTGTGCTTGTCCCGTGGTCCTTGGCCATTCTGCTGCGTTTCGCTGGGTCTCTGAGAAGGCAGACCGTCTGGTTTGACGTTTCTCTTCAGCTGGCCTCAGGCGCCAAGATTCTTCCGTCGGCCGCGTCCACTCTACAGACGACCCCATCGAAGACGTTCTTCATTTCCGTCCCAGTGTCGTCGATCTCCGGCGCCTCCTTCCCGTTTTCTCAGACTTCCTTCTGTCTGCTCACCTTGCCTGTCCGTCCTTGCATGCGGTCGACCGGCCTGATGCATTAGAGCCCCGAGCGTGTTCGTCCTGGTCGTTTCAGAACGCTGGGCTGAGCGCTGCCGGAGCCCTGCCGCGTCTGGTTCTGTTGCTGCTCTGTCTTCGATGTTTTTTGCCTTTTGGTGTGCCTTGTCATTTTTTCTCCATAGCCAGACGTGAGGTACCGAGTAGAAGGGCCTGCTGTGAGCACGCAGGGTGGGGTGGCCGGGCTCGAGGGTGGCCCACGGGCCGTGCGTGGGGCTCAGTCTCCAGCGTGCCGCGCCTCTGGCCCAAGCATCCTGGTGGGTCCCCGTCACTGCTCGCCAGCCCAGCAACAGTCAGCAGGACAGTTCTCCCTGGGGGCTTGGCGGGACGCCCGAGCCGCCCCTTCCCTGTCAGCGCCATGCGTACAAACACGCCCACCCCGCGTGGCCTCCCTTTGTCTTCCACATCTACTTTCCCTGCACTTTCTCCCTCCGCCCTTTGTTCTTTGCCCTCTCGCCCCCACAGGTGGACTGCAGACCGCCTGCCTGTCCCCACGTGCCTGTCACTACAGTTCACGTGCTGGAAACCCCGGTTCTTCCAGAGCCGGACCTCAGGGTCCCCACAGCCTGCAAGGCTCAGGCCGCGGCCATGACACTCACATCCCATCACAGATGGACATTGCTCCCAGGTGACGTGGGTGCTGCGATGACAGGACAGGTCTTGTACCAACGCTGCACTGTTGTGGTGCGTGACACGGGGCTGGCCTCTTCGGTTGATGGCCCCTGACTATCGGGGCACCATGGCCTTGACACCTCCCTCCAGGATGGGACTCTGCCCATCGCCTGACCACCAGCACCTCCAGCGTCCCGTGGACGCCCGGCCGCATGCTGGCCGCAGTCAGCTCTCCTGAACGTGCCTCTGCGCCTCCCTGTCATGGTCTGGTGTTTGTCTTAGTGCTGAGCCGTTCACAGGAGCGTCGTGGTCTCGCAGGGATGGCAGCCCTTCGTGGAGCAGGGCTCTGTGCCGCACGTCTTTGAATTCGAGGCCATTATTAACGCAGACCAACTGTGTGAGATGTGGTCTTACGTGATCAACTCGTACGTGTGTGTGGACGTTCGCTTTCTTTTTGTTCAGGTGCTGTTGGAAGAAGCAAAGGACTTGCTCTCTGACTGGCTGGACTCCACCCTCGGCAGTGAGGTTACTGACAATTCTATCTTCTCCCAACTGCCCAAGTTCTGGGAAGAGGAATTCCACAGAGACATGGAGGCCCTGAACGTAAGTCCGGCCGATGAGCCCATGCTTGCTCTCTGCGCCCCAATGCCCGAACGGCCTCACGCCACCCGGGCCATGTTCCTAATCGCTCGCTGAATGCGGTTTCACATGGGAGCCGAGGGCGCAGGGGGCTTCTCTGCCAGCATTTGGTTCTGCTGGTTTCTTGGGGCCTGCTCATCTGAGGCCGACATTTCTGAAGGAAGAACTGGGACCTTCTCTGGCTGTCCACAGGTTCTTCCTCCAGATGTCTTAACCCGCGTTAGCGAGTATGTGCCAGAGATCGTGAACTTTGTCCAGAAGATCGTGGACAATGGCTACGGGTGAGCTGAGGGCCCTCCTCGGGTCAGTGCACCGTTCAGGGGAAGGTTTGCCAAGGAAGGCAGCTCTCCGTCTCTGAGAGGGGATGCGGAGCAGGGAAGCCGCTGGGCGTGTGGGTGCCGCTGGGCATGTGGGCGCCTGGCGCTGCCGTCACCAAGCCCACAGACCAGGCGGCTGAAGCAGCAGAAGCGGATTTGCTCACAGCTCCAGACGGCAGATGTCTGAGGCCGCCAGCATGCCAGCAGGACGGGTTCCTCTGAGGGCCTTGAGGGAAGGGTGTATCCCAGCCCCTCTCCTTGGCGCAGACAGTGGCCATCTCGCGGACTTCTCACACATTTGTCACTCTGCACATGGGCTGCTTGGGCTCCTTTTGTGTCCCGATGTCCTCTTCTGCAGATAGATGGCGTAGGGGTCACACTGGGTCAGGGCTCATCCTGCTGACCTCACCTTCCTTCTGGGGAGACCCTGTCTCCAAATACACTCCCATTGGCAGGTGCTGGTGGCTAGGACCGTACGTATGAATTTGGGGAGGATACGGTCGAGCCTGCAACTTCCCCATAGTAGCATGCCTTTACACACTGACCTCCTAGCAGGCCTCTTTCCTCCGTGCCGCTGGGTCCTCAACTTCAGGGCTGCTTTGTAAGAGAACTCCCCGGGCTTTCCTTGATGTTGGTCGCCATCCAACAGGTATTTAGCCGTACAGATGCCATCTCTTTGTTCAAGGCAGGCAGGAAGAGCAAGAGGGTGGTGTTGGCTGTGCCCAGCCTGTCCCTGAAGCCCCCAGCAGACTTGCTGGTGCAGCCCGGGGCCTGGGGCCAGCCCTGTCAGGTGGGCCTGGGGCTGTGGCCAGGATGGGGGTGCTGTAGGGAATCCCTGCCTGCAGTCCACCAGGGTGCCCACAGCTCAGACCGTGAGCACGTGGCCTGGCCTGGTGAGCGTGGACTTGCCGGGTGTCTGGAGGCATCGGCCTCACTGTGTGAGCAGAGAGCACTTGTCCCCGAGTCATCTCCCAGGGCAGGTGTGGTTCCCTCGGGGCCCTTCTCCCGGCTGTGATTCCGCACACTGCCCCGGCCCTGGCCTCCGGTCCTAGCACCACCTGTCTGCGGGAAACACGGTCCAAGTGTCTGCAGTGAGCACGGTCAGAAATCACCAAGAAATGGAGGCATAAACGGGAGCGTGGTGTCTACAGCACGCGGCGCCTGTTGGCGGCGCCCCCACTGTAGGAGATTGCTTCCCGCCTCGTGGGGCAGTCGTGGCGTCTGCTGGACCAAGTGAGGAGTGGCGAACTCCTGGTGTGGGCCTGGAGCAGCACAGGTTCTCCGGAAGTGACAGGCGCCTCCTCTCTCTGCCCCACTTAACACGACCGCTCAGGACGGCACGAGATCGTGTGCCAAACTGAGTGCCGTGGGCAAGGCCAAGGTGGGAGAAGACAGATCATTCCGGGCTGGAGTAACCTGGAGTGCTTCTGGGAGGCAGAGAGCCTTGGCTGGGCAGGTGGGTAGAATGTAGCCAGAGGGAGGGCCTGGCGGGAGCCCGCCGTCGCTGAGGCGAGGGACCGGGCGGGAGCTGCAGGGCCATAGGACGCGAGGCAGAGGGTGTGCAGAGGGACCCGCTGCCCGGCGAGGGAGGAGTTGGCTTCCGCGGCGTGAAGTGTCCTTGGCAGGCCCGCTCGGCCTGCACAGCAGCCGTGGTTGTGAGTCGCTGCACCACAGAACCGGTAAATGGCCGAGCCGGCCCCGGACGCAGAAGGCAGAGCAGATGGAAGCAGCACGCGGGCCGTGTAACACTCGGCTCTTTGGGTCATCCTCCTGTGAGGTGCTCTGGGCTGTCTTTGAATCCATCCGCTTTCCCACAACCTCGTTCTTATTTTCTAGCTACGCCTCAAATGGGTCCGTCTACTTTGATACAGTGAAGTTTGCTTCCAGTGACAGACACTCCTACGGGAAGCTGGTGCCTGAGGCTGTTGGGGACCAGAAAGCCCTGCAGGAAGGGGAAGGTAAACTGAGCTTGGTGATGGGGTGGGGGGCTTCTTCCCCCTCCCTAGCCCCGGCCATACTCCCCTGGGCGCCTGGGAGCCTTGCCTTGTTCCCTCGGGATTTTAGGAGCTTTCCACGAGAAGCAAAAAAGCGAGTGTATCCAAGAGCATCTTGAAAGCACAGCAGATTCGGGCCCGGGTCCACAGGGCTGGCGTTTGTTGTGCCGAGAGCACCTGAGGGTCAGGGTGGGACACGCTGTGTGCCCGTGTGTCAGACACCCAGCGCTGGTGTGTTAGCAATATGCAGGTGGTGACCTGCTGAACGAGGGCACAGAAGCCATCCACACAGGGTCGGCAGCAGCCCCCTCGGCAGCTGAGCTCCCGCTTTGGGCAACCGGAAACCCCCGGGGCCATTTCAGTTGAAGGCACTGTTTCAATAGCCCCACACGGAGGAAGTGCACTCCCAAGGTGTGTTACTTACAAGTTCCAGAACGCGCGTCACAAGTTGGGGAGAGCAGGCGCCCGTTCCTTATACGGCGGTGGGGGCAGCGGTCACTGCCTGCCATGGGCTCAACTCTATGTGGTTATTTTGAAAGGTGCCCTGGGACAAGCCAGGCAGGAATTGTGTGACCGTCCAGGTTCTGGATGTGAGCAGGGGGCGGGGGGCATCACACCATCAGGTCCTGTGTGAACGTCCCGGTTCTGGGTGTGAGCGGGGGGATCACACCGTCAGATCCTGTGTGAACGTCCCGGTTCTGGGTGTGAGCGGGGGGATCACACCGTCAGATCCTGTG